GGTACGAGACTCGAACCCGCAACCTTTGGGTTACGAGTCCGACTCTCTAACCATTAGGCCACGACTTCCCCAAATACAAGATTAATAGTAGTTATTAAGATTGATGTCGTTTGGAATTGGTAAAATGTGCGTGGAAAAAAATATGATCAGAATATCAACGTGCCTAATAATTATGCACACCCTTATGCACAATAATTGTGCTCCCCTTACACAGAGTGCCTCTATATCGCGAAATTGAAAGTGAAATTGAACAGCAAGCACTTATTCAAATGCAATTTCAATAGGCTCAGAGGGGGCATGGGTGCAATTAAATTCATACATTCGCGTGGAGATTAATGTTTTAAATATAAAATTTTGAATACAAAAATATTAGAGTGGGCGGTAATGGTCAGAAATTCAGCGGGAGCGGACTTAAGAAAACTGTCCCGCTCAGGTCTCTAGGCTGCGCGTCAACACACACGTTGTGAAGTAATTGAAACATTGAAACATTGAAGTAACTTGAAAAATGAAAATTAGAAATAACTGTTTTGAACTGATTAATTTTTTTCCTTATATTGACGGCCCTAGGTCAGGAAACAGTATTTGCAGAAGTAATATTGAAGCCACAATGAACTACAGACAGACTGTTTGAAGCCTTCACACATTTTTAAACATATTCACCCAATCGCATTTGATGCTGGTTTAAAATGACTGTCTGTATCACAACAATGATTAAAGTTCTGAACACTCACTCAAGCCATTTTTGCAGCCATAAAAGCTCCATTCAAGTGTGTCCACTTACATATGAAAGACCTAATTCAATACGCTGAACTACTGACTGTACATTTTAAGGATGTCAATCTCGAGTACCTAGTTCCTGAAGGTGGTTCAAGGCCACATGGGTGTGATTAATCTTTTCAGCACAACAAAATGGGAACATGATCACAAATGTAATGCATTAAGGGTGCTTTCTATACCCAAAGTGATCTAAGTGAGCCAGACTGCTATGTTGTGGAGTGCTAGACACGTTTGTGCTAGAACATTCTCCCGAGGGCAGATAGCGAGGATTGTCTGGAAAGTGAGGAGTCATAGCATGGCAGTGTACTGAGGGCCACATGCAGCAGCACAGCTCTTGTGTCCAGCAACCCAGCAGAGGTCATCATATCAGGGTCAGGTGCACATGAGCACATACCCCACTCGGGTTACCACCAAGTTCGTAAGCAGAGGCGGAAACTGGAGAGGTCTTCCTTCCACGCCACAACATTGTTTTGAGGGCACCTAATAAACAAACAGATCCAACCAAGGCTGACCACAACTGCCCTGTTTCTCACAACCAATAATTTGTCTGCCTAGAATGACAAGCAGGTATGTATGTGCGTAATTGTTGGAGTTGGTTGCCAGCTTTACCCCATACCTGCTAGAGTGGCTTGCCTTTCACCTCTTCCAGTAAACATTTGCCTGTCACCATGTGTTCCAAAGTTGTTGGACACAACTCTTCAAACACATGATCGTGGCCCAAGCTTTATTCGTTTATAAATAACCAAGGTGGCTGACTGTTTACCACACTTTGCGAATAAACACACAGAGTGAACTTCTCTTCATAGAATGCAAATGGATATGATTTGATTTGCATTCTGTATTACGTTGCTTGTTTTGTAAATATAAATAAATCGAAAAGATATTTTATATTGCATGGATACAAGTTTGGGGACTTGAACTCATACTGTAAATACAGTAAATAATGCATAATTAATATAATAATACATTTGCATAAAATAATTACATAAAAGCAATATAACAGTTCTTAAAAGTTAAGTTATTATTTTTTTATGTATTATATATATATATATATATATATATATATAAAACACAAAATAAATATGAAACATGATTTAAGAAAGCTTAATTTTGAAATTCTGCAAAGGCATATGACAAGACATAAAAAATTTGATTTTTCTAAAATGTGAAAAATTTAGATAACAGAAAAATAAAGCTTGTGCATGTTTTTCCTGAAAGAATAGAAGATACAGTAGGTAGAGTAATAATTTCTCTTATTAAACGTAAACGCATGTGGGCCCTCAAATCCAAACTTGTACATACAGTGACATACTGCATGTACTGAATGCAAGATATTTGAGTGTGTTTGATGTGTGCAGTAGTGCTGTGTTCGATACATCGATACGACGATGTATCGTCACAGAGATTTGACGATACGAGTATCGATACTCGCCCTCAAGCCATCCTAGGCGTACATGACTTTCTTTTTTTCAAACGAATACAATCGGAGTTATATTACAAAAATATGGCACTTTCAAGCTTTATGATGGCAGTGAATGGCTGTTGAGATTTTGAAGTCCAATAAAGTGCATCCATCCATCATAAAAAGTACTCCACACAGCTCTGGGGGGTTAATAAATGCCTTCTGAAGTGAATCGATGCGTTTGTGTAAGAAAAATATCCATATTTAAAACTTTATAAACAGTGATCTCTAGTGCTGTGTTCGATACATCGATACGACGATGTATCGTCACAGAGATTTGACGATACTAGTATCGATACAGCTGTCCCAGTATCGATATTGTGGCACGTGTGCAGCAGTGGACCGTGCTTAATTTGAATAAAAGAACAACTTTTAAAACGGAGTAGAAAAGTGCAAGGTTTCAAAAAATAATGAATAGAGCATAATATATAGGCTACAACAAGGTTTAGTTTGTTCTTGAATGTCTGAGTGCGTGAATGAGTGTGTGTGCGTTAGATACAGTGAAGACAGCGCATTAGTTTAGAACTCTTCTAATTTATTTTTTTAAAGGTAGAGTGTGTTAATTTGTGCAATGATAACCTACCATCAATGTAAATTATTTTTTAAAAATATATTAGAATGAGTACATTACACTATAAATTTATTAGAACGAGTACATTATTATTTATGGGCTTAAAAACAAGATGCAAACAATCAGATTATTGTACCTGGTGGGGAGTGCCCAATGTAAACATGAAGCATATGCCATTACCTATATTGTAGGCTACTGTGGTACAGCTATGAAGGCCCTTCATAATGCAGAGGTCAACTGCCTGCTCTGCCAATAGTTAGAAATGGTACTATAGTATGCAGTGTTTAATAAACAGCTGTTTTACTAAACTCTCCTGAGGTGAAATTCAATGCAGTCCCGTATCGTATCATGGCCTCTGTATCGTATCGGGACTTTGCTGGTGATACACAGCTCTAGTGTGCAGTGTGGGTTGGTGTTTGTGTCGCACCTGTGTGGATCTGCCGGTGGGCCTCAAGAGCATCTTCCTTCTGAAACTGAGCTCCACACTGGTCACAAACGATGGCTTTCTCACCAGCTACAAGACAAAAAAAATGCAGAAATTATTCAATCTACATCACTTTGGAGGTCCTCGGGTGGTGCATGGTGTCATATCTCTTATTTGAACCCCCAGTAATACGTAAAATGATTTGGTGCCTGTGAGCTGGAAGTCTGCTGGATTCACTTCAGTAAAACTTGCTGGCAAAAACACTGTTTACAATGTATTTTGGAGGATATGTATGCCAGACGTTGATCTTGTGTGCACTGTGCAATAAAATCAATGTATCATAAGAGGGATTTATCGTTCAAGGCACACTTTCACTAAAAATCACACAAATGCTGTCAAACAACCCTAAAAAGAAGATAAAAACAAGAAGCCATACATATCACATCCGCATAGCATGTTTAGATGTTGCAATGGGATACCAAGAGGAACTGTGAGACCACAGGATGCCAATATACAATCTGATCTATAAATCAGAATTAAGCAGAAACACTGTATTGCATTCACACTGTATTTATCTGCTCGATCAAAAGGGAGTTTTTAAAATTTGTAACAGAACTGTCAGCTCTCGTCATTATGTCTTTAAATCTTACCGCCTTCACAAGCACAACAGGAAGTCATAGCTTAGATTAAAAAAAACAAACCAAAGTCCATTTCGCAACCACTGTAAAGTTGCAAAATGTACTGTACGGTCAAGCAGTAGAAAAAAAGTGTTTTTCTTTCTTTTCTTGCAGATGATGCCACTCAGCAATAAACTTATAAATGTGGCACAGACAAGTTCCTCTAAATGGCTCAAGAAATAAAACATCATTATTAAAACAAAAAACTGCACATAAAGAGGAACTGCCACAGACCTCAGAACTGGTTACTTCAGTGTATTCATACCCAATAATTGTTAACCATAAAACATTGTTTCTTCTGCAATGGGTGCTGCATTTAAAGTGCAGAGAATCTGTAAGTAAGCAATCCGAAGTTTAACTTTCCAAAAACTGTAAATATGGTCTCTATGGAAAATTCAAAACATTGCTGCTGGAGTGGTCCGACATCTCAACTTCTGACTTGATCATTTGTATAATATTGGGGTGGACTACCTGTTTGAATTTGAATTAAATTAGCATTGAAGTGGCAAAAAGGATGCAGAATGATCAAATGACAGATAGATATACAGTACAGATATGACAGACAGACAAAACGATAGAATGATAAACATATAGAACAAACTATAGAACAAACAATAGAACAAACGTTAAAACAATGGCAGAACAATATACACTAGCTGCATTTCCTTTATCCTTCAAATTGTGCAAACTGAAATTGCGAATTGAAAATACACCCAATGGAAACGCATCAATTTTGCAAAAACTCCCATATATCGCAAAAAGTTTTTACGCTCACATGAGATGGTTTTTCAGGCAATTTGAAATTTCCAAAAACTGCAAGGGAAAGTTCGCATTTACAGGTCACCTGGTGTACGTAAAAGTCACATGATCATTCTTTAATGTACTATAACCTCCAAGAAACACCTCATATGTTGCCACTCAAGTATAAGGGGCTTTCCTTGACAATAATGTTTGGCTTTCCTTGCCATTAATGCTTAGATAACACCTTATTTACACTTCACACGTCTGCGGAGCATTACGGCTCTGACACAGCCACACTAGTCAATGCTTGTGTTTATTTCAGACACGCCACGGCATGTTTCAGCTCTTCGCACTGCTTCGCTAAAGATATACACCTACGTCTCGTTTGATTAAAAATAATGGCTAGTGTGGTGGCTGTGATATACATAAACCTACAAACATCTGTCACCATGACTTATCGCAAGAGGAAAAAATTGTTTTAGTCGGATAAGTTTGGTTAATGGAAACACTGTCATTACGCAATAGCTTTTTTATCGACATATATAAAATATCGCAAAAGTTTTGCACAAATCTGTAATGGAGGCATGACTAGATAGATAGAATGATAGATAGGCAGTAGGGCTGCACGATAAATCGCATGCGATATTTAACGCGC